TCTGGCACTTCTTCCCCCCATTTCTTCACCCCTCGCGTGATTGATAGAGCAATTCGTTTGGGGCGGCCGGGAAAAGCTATGGCCGACTGGCCGAAGCTGTCCAGAATTAGGGCCCGGCCCCCCATTGAATTATGGCCTCCCCCAGGATATGGGCGGAACTTGGGAAGGAGGTTAACTGGAATCCCGCATACCTTTGGGCAGGCTAGCAGAGACAATTTGAGAAGGGTACCAGTCAGGCAGAAATCCCGAAACCATAATCCCGGAAAGACAAAATCCCGCCGGCAAGAAGCCCGTCAGGCCAAGATCCCGACAATGAAACCCCCGACATAAAATCCCGACTGGCCGAAATGTCGAAAGTGAAACTCGTGACCTGAAATCCTGACAACCACAATCCCGTATAGAGACAAAATGCCGACAGCAAAAATCCCGACAGCGGGAATCCCGACAAGCCAAAATTCCGAGAGCCAAGATCCCGAATAGACAAAATCCCACAGGCCGAAATCCCGATGTCATCTTAAGGCTAGTTCGAATCGCAATTCCTTTGAAAAAAGCTATTTTTCATGTCGGGTTTTGGCCAAACGGGATTTTGGTCTGTCGGGACTTTGGCTGTCGGTATTCCCAAGGTCGGGATTTTCAGAACCGGGTTTTGGCCGCCGAGATTTTGTCTTTTCGGGATTATGGCTGTCGGGATTTTTGTCTTTTACGGGATTATGGCTGTCGGGATTTTTGTCTTTTACGGGATTATGGCTGTCGGGATTTTTGTCTTTTACGGGATTATGGCTGTCGGGATTTTTGTCTTTTACGGGATTATGGCTGTCGGGATTTTTGTCTTTTACGGGGTTATGGCTGTCGGGATTTTTGTCTTTTACGGGATTATGGCTGTCGGGATTTTTGTCTTTTACGGGATTATGGCTGTCGGGATATTGCATCTCGTGATTTCGGCGAGTTCCTCAGCCTAAATTTACCAATCGTCCAAATCTAACCTTTTTTCAAAACTTTGCGAAATCATGTTTCAACCGTTTTGGTGATGGAAATCTATTAAAACACATTAATAATGTTCCCGGAAAGACCATAAACGAAAAACAGCAATTACCTTCCCAAAAAACCTCTGCTAGTCTACCGAACTCCGTAGCGATGGTCCCAAAACCTGCGCCCCACCGCCGCCCCCCGATGGGCCCCAAACAAATTAGGAGCGCCATAACCGGATTAAAAGACCTGAGAAGGGCCCATAATTGGGCCCCCACCAACTCGGGGCCACCCTATTCTGACTGGGCCCCCCGGAAAAATTGGACCCCTGAAAATTTTTGGGAGACCCTGAAAGTTCATGAACCCTCCCCTGCCTAATGGGCTTTTACGGGGAATCTAATTTGATTTTGTAGCTCCAGACATGGGGGGGGGGTTTCGAAAACGGAAAATACGATCCTAAAAGATCGCTGCTAGCTTGCCCAAGAAAGAAATTCTGGGGCTTTGGCATTATCGGGGGGGGAGAAACCGCATTCTAAACTCCAGAGATGCCTAGAAAAGTAACAATAGGGATTTTAATATAGGTTTTAGTGAGATTTGTCTATATTTAAAGCAAAAAAATTCTAAAAAAACTTTAAAAATTAAAAATTCGATATTTTTGTCGAAAATCGGCATTTTTTTTGTCGAAGAGTCCATATTTTGTACTTCCCGGTTTGTAATATTTGCACTAAAATAGATGGATATAAAAGCAGTGTTAAAATTCCAAAAAGCGCCTTTTTTGTTTGTATAAAAAATATAATAATAGTGCAAGAGTCCCCGCCCCCCGATAATGCGAAGATCCGAATTTCCAACTCCTCTAAGTTTTCTGCTAGCCTGCCCTCTCCTCTTCCTCAACAATCTCTGCTAGCCTGCCCTCTCCTCTTCCTCAACAATCACTGCTAGCCTGCCCTCTCCTCTTCCTCAACAATCTCTGCTAGCCTGCCCTCTCCTCTTCCTCAACAATCTCTGCTAGCCTGCCCTCTCCTCTTCCTCAACAATCACTGCTAGCCTGCCCTCTCCTCTTCCTCAACAATCTCTGCTAGCCTGCCCTCTCCTCTTCCTCAACAATCTCTGCTAGCCTGCCCTCTCCTCTTCCTCAACAATCTCTGCTAGCCTGCCCTCTCCTCTTCCTCAACAATCTCTGCTAGCCTGCCCTCTCCTCTTCCTCAACCATCCTTGCTAGCCTGCCCTCTCCTTTTCCTCAACAATCTCTGCTAGCCTGCTCTCTCCTCTTCCTCAACAATCTCTGCTAGCCTGCCCTCTCCTCTTCCTCAACAATCTCTGCTAGCCTGCCCTCTCCTCTTCCTCAACAATCTCTGCTAGCCTGCCCTCTCCTCTTCCTCAACAATCTCTGCTAGCCTACCCTCTCCTCTTCCTCAACAATCTCTGCTAGCCTGCCCTCTCCTCTTCCTCAACAATCTCTGCTAGCCTGCCCTCTCCTCTTCCTCAATAATCTCTGCTAGCCTGCCCTCTCCTCTTCCTCAACAACCTCTGCTAGGCCAACCTCTCGATCGATTTCCGCAAAGAATCTCTGCTAGCACCCCAAAAACTCCCATAGCCACTAATAAATGTGTGTGGGCAAAATATCGAGGTCGAGAATCCCGAATCTCCGGGGGTCTCCGGGGCAATTGCTCGTAAAATTCGCCTTTTCTGGGGGTGCACCCCAAAAAGCGGAAGAAAAGGGCGAAGATTTCCAAGAAGAAGAAGCTGTCACCCCCGGGGGGAAATCTGGTGACAGCCCCTGCACGACAATCCCCTGCACACCCCCCGGTGGCAGATGACGCGCCGGAATTTATAGCCGGTGGGAGAGGGGGTATTATTGCGGAGAACAGGAAGAGGATACGGTAGCTAGGGGTAACGGCTTTAATTTCTTGGTCTGAAGAGGGCGGGCTAGCAGCGATTCTTGAGGAAATCAGAGAAACAAAGCAAGCCACTCTGAGGCCCAGCTTCGAGTCTAAGCCTGAGCTTACGAATCGGCTTAGTCCAAGCCCACGTATGAGCAGAAGTTAGGCTAAGTCTATGTCTATGCCTTGTAAGCCAGTACTTTTGCATCATGGGGGGGGGTACCCTTTAGGTTTTAAATCTTTTGACTCAAAGTCAATCCTAATTCTAAGTCTGACCAAATCCTAAGCCTAAAAAACTAAGCCTAAGCGTAAGCGTAAGCCTAAGCCTAAGCCTAAGCCGACGTCTAAGCAGAACCATACGCAAAAGCTAAGCCTAAACCAAAGCTAAGGCCAAGCCTAAACCTAAGTCTAGACCTAACGCTATGCATAAGCCCAAGCCTAAGCCTAAGCCAAAGAAAGGCTAGCAGAGATTATTGAGGGGCCGATCCTCCAAAAAGCTAAACAAAAAGTCAGACTTTTTAGATTTTTTTGGTAACGGGGGTGTGCATCTGAAATCCAAGTTTTTCCGTTTCGGCAACTTTTTCGGGGGGTGTGCCCCCCGAAATCGGGTGCTGCACTCAAATATTCATCGGCACAACTTCTAGGGTGATTGGGTGGTGGTGGGCCCGCGTAGCACTGGGGGCCCGCATACGCATGGCGGCTCTGGTTTCTGGCTCGGCGGAGTCGAGCACAGCGGTGCTGGCGGTGACGTGCCGAATGCCTCGGCGAGCCGATGGTGGAGTGCAGAGAATACGAGACTATTTTCAGGTCACTGACCTGATTTTGTGGGTGGTTAGGGCATGCTAGCGGATTTGGGTGAGTTGGGGCATAGCAGAGATTCTCAGCCAGCGGTGGAAATTGGGGAGCTAGCAGAGATCCTTGGGGAATGAGGAATCTCGACAGGCTAGCAGATTCAGTGCAAGCGAAGGAGAGAGGCAGAGAGGCGAGAGAGAGCGAGCAAGCAAATAAGATAGAGAGCGAGAGAGAGAGAGAGAGAGAGAGAGAGAGACATTGAGGGCGAGCGAGGACATGAAGTAAAGTCAGAACATCATTTTCGAGCATGTTAAACCTAGGCAGACTGGCACAGATCATTGCGGAATTTTGGACCTGGCCGTACTAAATGTGACTTCATCCGGGCTTTTGAGTTTCTGCAAAAACGGCTCTACCAGCGCCCCGGGACTAAAATGCTAGGGGCCCAGCGAAAGGCTAAAATTTCAAGGGAGGGGTAAGCGGTTATGAAGATGATGGGAGGGTGGGGAGCCACTAGAACGGCCTTTTTCGGGCCCTCCGGATTGAATTACCAACCCTTTAAGTCGGCAGGAATAACCACGGGGCCCGGTTGATCTTTCGAAAATGCCAGCGATCCTCGAGAATAGGTGACCCCCGGTTTTAAAGGGATGTGGAAGTGAAATTGGCGAAAAAAGCTCTGCTAGACGGCCCTGAAATATTAAAACTTCCTCAACCATCCCTGCTAGCCTGCCCTCTCCTTTTCCTCAACAATCTCTGCTAGCCTGCTCTCTCCTCTTCCTCAACAATCTCTGCTAGCCTGCCCTCTCCTCTTCCTCAACAATCTCTGCTAGCCTACCCTCTCCTCTTCCTCAACAATCTCTGCTAGCCTGCCCTCTCCTCTTCCTCAACAATCTCTGCTAGCCTACCCTCTCCTCTTCCTCAACAATCTCTGCTAGCCTGCCCTCTCCTCTTCCTCAACAATCTCTGCTAGCCTGCCCCTCTCCTCTTCCTCAACAATCTCTGCTAGCCTGCCCTCTCCTCTTCCTCAACAATCTCTGCTAGCCTGCCCTCTCCTCTTCCTCAACAATCTCTGCTAGCCTACCCTCTCCTCTTCCTCAACAATCTCTGCTAGCCTGCCCTCTCCTCTTCCTCAACAATCTCTGCTAGCCTGCCCTCTCCTTTTCCTCAAAAAAAAAACTCTGCTAGCCTGCCTTGCCCCGGAAATCGGTTTTCGAGTACAGCGCTTACCGGAAGTTGACCGGAAGTCGGCAGAAATTTGCATATCTTCCAGCGGATTTCCGGTTAGCTGATACTGATCAAAAAAGCCTCAGATTTTCTCATTTTCTACCGAACCTCGACAAGAAACTACAAAAAAGCGATTCCCGGATGTCTCCGCCCCCTCAATTCTTCGGCTACTCCTGGGACGACGGGCAGCCGCTCTCTGCTAGTGGTGAGGCTGTTTGGGCTCTATTTTCGAAAGGGAAAGCATTAAAATGGACCCGAGATGCAAATTTCGAATTATAAATTTATGGCGAAATTCAAATTTTCACCCAAAGTTCGATATTTAAATTGTTTTTCAGGTAAAAAGTTTTGGGTTAAATTTGAGGTCGAATAAAACCTTTATCCGCTAGATTTGCGTGAAGTACAATTCGTGGTGGCTTTGGCATTATCGGGGGGGGGGGGACAAATTTAAATTGAGAGGCGCATTTTCTTATATAAATAGTGGAAGTGTTTCTAAGTGGGTTTTTTACTATTCCTAAGCGTAAAACCTCGGCAATCTTTGAATAAAAAAAATACAAAAAATCTAGTTTTTCGACAATTTTTTTAATTTCTTGAAATTTAAATTTTCTTAAAAACACAATTAAAAAAGTTACTAAAACGCTGCTAGACATTTCTAGATTCATAGAAAAAAATCTAATTTTATGGAAACCCCCCCCCAATAACGAGAAAGCTCCAGATTTTACTCATAATTTTTAAAAGTTGCGCGTAGAAAATTGGCTCGTGTTTCCGGTTGAGAACTGAGGCGTTCCCGGCCTGCGCGGAAATGCAAACAAATGCAACGGTTGGCTAATTAACTTTCGAGGGCTGGCGAAAAGTCTCGTTGAGCCCTGGGGGGTCGAATTTTAAACAGCCCCCGTTTATTGGAGCGACACGGAAACGGAAATAGGAGTGACGCGGAAAATTCAGTTTCCGGCGGACACGGCAGGCAGGCTAGCAGAGACAATTTGAGAAATAGGCACGAGAAAATGGAAATCCTAGAAATTTACGGGTATCCCGCGCTTGTGCATTATCGGGGAGGGGGGGGGGCTTTTTAAACGGGCTTTTACGATCCTCAAACGTGAAAACTATAAAAAATTTTATTAAAAGAATACCAGGAATATCGATTTTTCGACCGATAAAATGGCCCATTTTTAGCAAAGTTTCGCATTTTCAAATTGTTCGCTTTTTAGGTTTTTTAATGTATTCAATTTTTACTAAAAATTCCATTAAAATACTTGTTATTAATTACTAGATTTTCCTGGACGTATAAAACAAAAATCCGCCCCCCCCGATAATGCGAAGGTACCTAACAATAAGTAAAGTCTCGCAAAGTTTGAAAAGGCATGCTAGCAATGGTCTTTGGGGAATTTTGGTTGACGTAGTGATTTTTTACGAATTCTAAGGTTCCTAGGGCAGGCTGCTGGGATTTTTGAGGAACGCTCCCCAGCCCCGTAATAAAGTCCTTCTGAAAAAAGCATTGTAGTCCGTAGCTCCCCTAAAAACAAACCAGGACAATCGTCCCAATTCCGCAATTCCCTAGAAATATTAATATAAAAGTTTTTGCGGGGGATTATCGTCTCGTGGGCGGGTCCCAAAACGGCTCCCTGGGGGTTACGGTAGCACTTCCGCTAGGATTCCCTAAATCGCATCAAAAACAAAGTGGGGGACACTTGTTCGGGGGTGTGATTAAAGTTTTTGGGGGTGCTGGGGGATTATCGTTGGAGATAGATAGAGAGCGAGAGAGAGTGAGAGAGCGAGAGAGGGGGAGAGAGAGGGAGAGAGAGCGAGAGAGCCGGAGAGAATGGGAGAGGGAGAGGGAGAGGGAGAGAGAGTGAGACATAAAGAGAGGGAGAGCGAGAGAGTGAGAGAGAGAGCGAGCGCGCGAAAGAACAATTCTCACGTGCCCTCCAGGCATTTCCGGTGAATTGCCGGATTAGCCTGATAATCCGGATCTGCTGGGGCGGATTTTCTCAAGTTTTTTAAAGGGATTAGGAAGTGAGGAAACTTGGGTGCACAGATTTTTAAGGAAATTTTGCGACCTAGGCGAACAAAAAATAAATAAAAAGTTTGAAGAGCATTTTAAAGGGTTTTTCTTCGAAGTTTCCATAATCCTCAAGAATCGTTGCTAGCCTGCCTGGTAGAATGGCCCGATTTCCTGAACAATCGCTGCTAGCCTGCCCTCAGGAGCCTCAAATTGTCTCTGCTAGATTATCATGCTTTTTACAACAAAAAAAACCGGTGAAAAATCTGGTCCCTATCCAGAATCTGCCCTTTTATTCCCCCCAGCTCGACAGACATTTAAAAAAAAGCCGGAAATGATCACAGGTTGACGTTTTGCCATGAATTCATAATTTTCCGGGTTCATTTCATGGCTAGACGAATTTTTTGCCTGTCGCTAATGATGGGCGATTGAAATCTGGGGCCCCGGCGGCCCACCTGACAACTGAAAAAAAGCCATAGAAAAATTTTAGAAAATTTTGAAGTCCGGGTCTGGATGGCGAAGTGTGTTTTAAAAAAATCGTTACGCGAAATAAGCTATAATAGCAAAAAAAGCAAAAAGTCTCGAAAAACACAGCAACCAAATCGATTTCGAAATTGCCAAAATTCCCAGTCATGAAAAACGCTGGATTTAAGACAATAGGCCTTACGAGATACGGTAGCCACAAAACAAAAAACTTATCAGAAATAGTTGCTCGTTAATACTATGGAAATATTTCCTTTCCAGCCGACGAGTCGGGCACCGTACTCTCCGAGCGGAAACCGCACGTCCTCCTCCGTCCCGTCTACATTAATGCCGTGGAAGTTGGATTCGCGTGAGTTTTCGATGGATTTCTGACTTCTCGGTTCCTTTAAACCTTTCAATACTTTTTAAGTTATCACCAAGTGGATCGAGATCGTCGGCTTCACGTTCGCGGAGTGACGATTGCACTGTGGTACTTCATCTCCAGAGGGCATCAGGTAGCCAGCAGGGTTCCTACTATATATAAAAAAAATAGTGTTTGTGTGTGTGTGTATATTTGCATGCGCTTCCGTTAGGATGTTCCGCTCCTACAGCCTCGGGGAAGGGTTTTTTGGCTAGGGAAGAAACGACAATAGGTTTAGAATGGTCCGGAATCGACTGCACACACATAAAAATTTTGAAAAATTGCTGTTTCGCTATTAAAAATAGGTTTTTGTAAAACCCTGTTTGTTAGGGGAAATTAGCATGCGCCGGAAGTAGGAAGAGCCGATAAAAAGGGACAGAGGAGCCGTTTTTCACTTTTTTTTCTTGCTAGAATTCAGGAAGAAACATGCAAATTAAGGACTTTCACAGGTTCTGGACGGGGCCAGGGTTGAAAAGCCGCGAAGCGGTTTTTCAACCCTGGTTGTTGAGGAAAAGGAGAGGACAGGCTAGCAGAGATTGTTGAGGAAGTGGAGAGGGCAGGCTAGCAGAGATTGTTGAGGAAGAGGAGAGGGCAGGCTAGCAGAGATTGTTGAGGAAGAGGAGAGGGCAGGCTAGCAGAGATTGTTGAGGAAGAGGAGAGGGCAGGCTAGCAGAGATTGTTGAGTAAGAGGAGAGGGCAGGCTAGCAGAGATTGTTGAGGAAGAGGAGAGGGCAGGCTAGCAGAGATTGTTGAGGAAGTGGAGAGGGCAGGCTAGCAGAGATTGTTGAGGAAGAGGAGAGGGCAGGCTAGCAGAGATTGTTGAGGAAGAGGAGAGGGCAGGCTAGCAGAGATTGTTGAGGAAGAGGGGAGGGCAGGCTAGCAGAGATTGTTGAGTAAGAGGAGAGGGCAGGCTAGCAGAGATTGTTGAGGAAGAGGAGAGGGCAGGCTAGCAGAGATTGTTGAGGAAGAGGAGAGGGCAGGCTAGCAGAGATTGTTGAGGAAGAGGAGAGGGCAGGCTAGCAGAGATTGTTGAGGAAGAGGAGAGGGCAGGCTAGCAGAGATTGTTGAGTAAGAGGAGAGGGCAGGCTAGCAGAGATTGTTGAGGAAGAGGAGAGGGCAGGCTAGCAGAGATTGTTGAGGAAGAGGAGAGGGCAGGCTAGAAGCGATTGTTGAGGAATCAGACAATATAGCAAAGATATTTTGAACCTCTTCAGGCTGTCGCCCTGCTCCCGCACTGCTTCAAGGTCTACGCCGACAAGAGCTCGAACTGGACGGAGTTGATGCACCTCTTCCGGCTGAACCTCATCGAATTCACGCCTGGTGGGCGGGCTAACGGAGATTTTTGAGGAGCCGGGCAGGCTGGCAGAGATCCTTTGAAGCCGCGTTTTTCAGGCTTTGGCCCCGACAAGTACGTGGAGGTGAACCGGATGTTGGCGACGAGGGCCCGGGAGACGGGCGGCTGCGTGGTGGCCCGCAGCCAGATGCACGCCATCCTCGACGAGCTGCCCAACCTCGACAAGACGATCGAGAAAAAGTGGGGTTTTCAGTCGGTTTAAGGGATCTCTAGCCCTAAGCCTGAGCCTAAGCTTGTTTTCTAGGCTTCTGATGCCAGCGTTCAACGGGGACGACCTGATCTTTCCGATGGACGGGCCGTTGGGCCGGAATGGACCCACTTTAAACGTTGGTATTTTCGGTTCTTTTCCATTGGCCGGGGGGGGTGTATCAAGCATCCGTATATCCGCTCTTTCCCCCCGATAATGCACAAGAACTGAAGCTCTGTAGACCACCCTCCGCTGCCCGCCTAGCGACGTCGAATGGGGCCGCTGCTCGCATCATCAGGTAAGCAAGTTGTAGCTTGTAGCTTGTAGTTTAGCTGTATCTTTTGATGCCCCCTTTTCCAGATGCGCCTCTCCGACCAGCGAATCTGGGTTCAGCGCCTCACCGCCATCGTCCCGAATAAGGGTTGGGAAGTTTGGAATTAAATTTTTTGCCGCTCCTTAAGAATCCCTGCTAGCCCGCCCAGCTCCTCAATTTTCAGCCGCCTGGACGCTCCTCGCCGGAAAGCTCGCCGACTTCACCCCGAAGACGCCGTTGGACATGGTAATTGAGCTCTCTCTCCCTCTCGCTTTCTCTCTCTCTGTATCTCTCTCGCTCTCATGTCTATTTTCCAGTCGGCTCTCCCGATCCGCCCGGCCACCTCGCTGCACCTCAAGATCCGCCCGCTCGAGCTCCTCACTCCCGAGGAGCGCCTCCAAGCTCAGGAGCGGCGTCACTACCGCCGATCCGAGTCCGTTCCTCAACAATCTCTGCTAGCCTGCCCTCTCCTCTTCCTCAACAATCTCTGCTAGCCTGCCCTCTCCTCTTCCTCAACAATCTCTGCTAGCCTGCCCTCTCCTCTTCCTCAACAATCTCTGCTAGCCTGCCCTCTCCTCTTCCTCAACAATCTCTGCTAGCCTGCCCTCTCCTCTTCCTCAACAATCTCTGCTAGCCTGCCCTCTCCTCTTCCTCAACAATCTCTGCTAGCCTGCCCTCTCCCTCTTCCTCAACAATCTCTGCTAGCCTGCCCCTCTCCTCTTCCTCAACAATCTCTGCTAGCCTGCCCTCTCCTCTTCCTCAACAATCTCTGCTAGCCTGCCCTCTCCTCTTCCTTACCAATATCTGCTAGCCTGCCCTCTTCTCTTCCTCAACAATCTCTGCTAGCCTGCCCTCTCCTCTTCCTCAACAATCTCTGCTAGCCTGCCCTCTCCTCTTCCTCAACAATCTCTGCTAGCCTGCCCTCTCCTCTTCCTCAACAATCTCTGCTAGCCTGCCCTCTCCTCTTCCTCAACAATCTCTGCTAGCCTGCCCTCTCCTCTTCCTCAACAATCTCTGCTAGCCTGCCCTGTCACGTTTGGGCAAGCTAGCAGAGACAATCGAGGAAATTCTGCAAATTTCAGCGACCCCGGCGACTCGTCCCGCGGGCTGCACCAAGAGGACGGCTCCGAATACGGACGCGACGCGACCTCGCCGCTGCGCTACGGCCAGCGCCCCGGCAGCCAGCAGCGCTATGCAACTGGTAAGGCTGACATGCGCTTCCTAAATGCTCTCTGCTTGCCTGCCATGCCTTGCAAAATGTTTTAAACGATTCCAGAAGCCTACTCCGGGCACCACTCGGCGGTGCCTCGTTATCCCAACCAACAGCCGGGATTTCAACGCGGCGGCTGCGGTGGTGGTGGCGGCTACATGAGACGTCCCGGGGTGCGTTTTTGTAGCTTGTAGTTTGTTCGGCGGAATTAGGGAAATTTTTGCTTGAATTTAAACCACTTAAATTTAGATGCCACCGAGCTGTGGGCCGTGGCAGCCTCCGCGCGAATACTCCAATGCTGGGTACGCTACTTCCGCAAATTGTCTCTGCTAGCATGCCCCCGCAGGGCCTACGTCCTAAAGGATCTCTGCTATCCTGCCATTTTCAGCGCTTCTCCCTGCTGCCGCAACTGCCACCACCCGGGCGATTGCGGCGTGCGAGCGCAGCCCGTCTACGAGCGCCGCTACGATCAGCAGTGAGCTTTGGGGGTTAAGCCTGAGCACAAGCTTAGGCCAAGCCTAAACCAGGCTTAAGCCAAGCCTAAGCCAAGCCTCGGCCAAGCCTAAGTCAAGCCTAAGTCAAGCCTAAGCCAAGCCTAAACCAAGCCTAGGTCAAGCCTACCGTAGCCCCCACAATTTCTGCCGTTCAGCTCCGACGCGTACTACGAGTGGCGCGGCGGGACCTCGTCTCACGGCCCGTTCCGCCAAGTGCCCCACAACGACCTGCTCGACGGCAGCGTGGCCCCGGTTTGTAGTTTGGAGCCGCGCGGAATTTTGGCTTTTTCGTACCGAAAACCGAGATTTTTACTACAAAACTAAAAAAAATTTTTGTGAACCAAAAACAACTGTTTTTGCTCAAAATTTCGACTTTTTGAAGAATTTTTGAACTTTTTAGATGGTTTTTCTGCTGAAATATAGTTTAATTTCACCAAAAAAATATTAAATAACGTTTGGTTAAGTTACTAGGCAATTCTACCCACATATGCAATAAAATTCCCGTTTTTAGCCCAACAACCCGCCGGGAGTCCACGCGCGCCGCTCCCAATACGTGGTAAATTTTTGTAGTTTCTAGTTTGCATTTTTAACGAATTAAACCGGTTTTTTAATAAATTTTACTCCCGGTTTTAAGCACTGATTTTAAAAGAAAAGTTTATAGTCGAAATTCTACAATTTTAGTCCGTCTCCCCGCCCAGCCAGCCGATTGCCGACAGCGCCACGGAGCGGCAGCCGCTCAGTAAATTCTTGATTTTTATTCCTGAATTTCTATATATATTTTTTAAATTTACGTTTTACATTCTCGAGGTATACTAGCAGAGATTCTTGAGGACATTCCCCGGAAAATTCCATTTTCCAGCCCCCAACCGCGCCAAGGAGGTGTTCAACCAGGTGGCCGCGATTCTCGGATGGGAGAAGGTGATTTTTAAATGATCTTTGGCGTTTTTGAAGTGGATTTTCTTATGGATTTGCCTTCAATGGTTCTTTAAAAGGTATTTTTAGGCAAAAACCGTCACGCAACGCTTCCCCCACGTCGAATCGGTGCAGGCGCTGATCGAATACGCCTTCGAGCAGCCGGGTGAGTGACTTGGAAGAGGGCAGACTAGCAGAGATTGTTGAGGAAATCACAACTTTCAGAAGCTGACGTCGCCGACACCTCGACCCGCATCATCGGCTCCCCAACGGTCAGTGCCGGAGCCGTCAGCCTGCCTAGCTCTATTCCGCCGAAGCCGGAAGTGGTAGGTTTTGACGCGATTTCCAGGGCAGGCTAGCAGAGACTATTTTGGAAGCCGATGTCCTTTAGCAAGCCCCGCCCCCCGCCCAGCTCTGGCCGAGGCGCGAGCCGCGACTCGGGCTCGAGCAGGAGTCCCCGCTCCACTACCGTTCCATCGACCACCTGGCCCGGCTGCCGTTGTGGAAGGTGAGAAGGGAGTCCTCAATGGTCACTGCTAGCCTGCCCGCCTCTCCGCAAACAATCTATGCTAGCCCTCTTTCTCTAAGGACTCTCCCCATCTGCACGGCTACACGGCGCCCGACCCGATGGACTACGTTGTGCCGGGGCTGCGGCAGCTGCTCGCCGCGCACCGCGACGCCTACCATGATGCGTTGCGGCGTCGGCAGAATGGTGAGCCTGGTCTATTTCTCTCTCTCTCTCTCTCTCTTTCTCTTTCTCTCTCTCTCTCTCTCTCTCTCTCTCTCTCTCTTTCTCTCTGTTCTATAGTTTGCGTTTTTAGCCCAAAACAGATCGGCTCGAGCGCCTGCTCCCGAATCCCCGAAGACGAACGACAACCTCAACGCGGCCACCCAGACCCCCACTACCACCGCCTTGTCCAAGTTCAACGAGGTAAGCCGAAGCCTAAGCCTAAACCACCTGTCACGCCCCCTTAAAATCCATTTCCAGGCCTTGCCCATCATTTCCGCCAGCACGTCCGTGTCGCCCGCCACCAACACCACCACGACGACGATGACCAGCGAGCCGGAGGTGGAAGAGGAAATTGTGAGCGGCGTTTTCAAAGGAATTCGGCTAACCTGTCCCCTCCTGTTCCTCAACAATCTCTGCTAGCCTACGCACCTTTTTGCAGCTCCTGATCGACTTCTCAACTCCGGTAGATGCTCCGCCCGCCAGCTCCACCTCATCTCCGCCTCCTCCCATCCTGACGGAGCTGCAGGACCTCCACTTCTGAAGCGGCTCCAGAAACCGAAGCACCTCATGCTCCTTATTAATGCATCATCGGTTTTGCGTTTCCAAATCCAATCAATTACTATTAACACCCGCGTTTCCTCGTCGATCTCATGTGTCTCATGCTCCTCCTCTTTTGTCTCTCGGGTTCCTGGCAACAAATTAATCCCTCTGCTCGAACGCTTCCTCGAAAATCTCTGCTCGCCTGCCTTAATCTCCGCTGTGATGTTAATTCTGGTGCTCCTGCTCGTTTTGTGAATTGTTTTTATGGTTTTTGTGGCTTTGTGTGTTTTTGTTGGGAATAAAGCGTTTCGGGGTTTTTCAGAATTCGGATTCGTACTCGGACTCCTAAATGGCCTTTGCCAGCTTGCCTCTGGTTTTCCCGTGTTTCAAGGTTTTTTTAAATGTTTTGGATTGAGGAGGATTTGTCAGGAATTTTGAGTGAGAAAAACGATTTAAAAATCTTCTTGATAAATTAGGTTCTTGTGCATCATCGGGCAGGAGGGTTGCATAAACAAAATTTCTGAATTTTTATCGAAAATCGGCCTTTTTAGTCGAAAAATCGATGTTATTGTTGGTTTTTAATAAAATTTTGTAAAGTTTTTACGTTTAGGAAGAGCCTGCGTTTAATTTTTTCAGTTTAAGAACGGTTAAAAATTAAAATGGTTTCATTATTTCCATTAGAAAATCGGGTCTGGAGAAAAATTTGACCCCCCCCCCCGATAATGCGAAAGCACCCGAAAGAAGAAAGAAAAGATAAACCAATAGAATTGAGGAGCAATTCTCAATACCAAAAATCTAATAAAAAAATAAGTTACAGTTAGTATTACTCATAGACAAGTTTCCTTAATAATGTTGTGAATTTTTTGTTAATAATTGCGTCGTTTTCGAATTATGACAGGCGGCCAGCCAGCAGAGATTTTTGGTGAAAAACTGGCAAGACTCTGGTTTACCACCCCCCCCAGCCGTAACTTTTCAGCCATACGTCCTTTTAATGCGCCGAGTATTTCAAAATGTTCCCCGTGGTCGAATTACTATATAAAAGTGTTTCCTTACATCCAAAATCGTTAGAAGAATTTTTATAACAATTATAAGTCTGGGTTTTCTTAGTTAATTTTTGCTGTTCCAAAGTGAGTTTTCGTATCTCGGCCATCTTTTGACGTACAGAGCTGTCAATAGTACCAAAATGTAGCTCTTGCTCTGGAGAATAAGCCTACAGTACGTTTTAGTCGAAAAAATAGCGGAAAATAAAAATATTTGAGTTTTTGGCTCCTGCTTCATTGAAGCATAGCGGCGTAATCTTTTCAACTTCCAAAATCTTGTAAAAAAATTTCTAGCAATTTTTGCCGCAAGAAAACAACTTTTTTTTATGGTAATTCGACAACGGCGAACATTTTGAGATACTCGGCGCATTAATAGGACGTATGGCTGAAAAGTTAGGGCTGCGGGGGGGCAAACTAGAGTCTTACCGAAAAACTCTAGTATTGCTTAAAACCACTAATTGAAGGTATAAAGTAAGGTGACTTAAGTCTAAAAGTTTCGTTTTATTCCGAAACGTTCATTTAATAGATATCTTTTGGAAATTTTGATGTTCCATGGCAATGTGCCACCAGCGTCTAACTGATACCTAGAATCATCTTCGGTTTGGAGACGGAAATCCTCAAATTGTCTCTGCTGGCCTGCCTAATTTTCGAAGAGTTTTCAAAACATGACCAGGCTAAATGCGTAAAAAAGAAAAAAATCTCACTAGGCATGCTGCTTCGAGTGCCCATTACAAAGCTTTAAATGGATTTTTGATTATTACGTTTGTTTTTCACTGATATTAAAGTTTTCTGATAAGAAATCGTGAACTACAATTTAAAATGAAACACAACGAATTGCAACGCCGAAAAATGTCAATGACAAACAAAATTAGAAAAAGAAGTTTCAGACGAACGAGTGAGCCGGAGGCACGTTTTCGCAATAATACGACGACGCTGTGTGGGTTCAATTATTCAGCCGGTAAACCAGCAGTGTTTATTAGGGAAGCCACGTAGTATTGCTTCTAAACCCTCCGGTATAATCGTCAGCGTAGTCTAACGAGAATTTCTAAGTTTAACTTCGATCAAAAAAGGACATCGAGTTTAATTTTGAGCAAAACGGTCAATCGATGGAAATTTTGAGAAATATATGTTTCTCAAGGCTTAGCAACGTCAGCGCCTAGCTGATATTTAGCATTCGCTCACCGTTTGACTTTCCAGAATTCCTGAAATGTCTCTGCTGGCCTGCCTTATTTTCACAGATGTTTCAAAACATGACCATGCTAAATGCGTAAGCAAGACTTTAATTTCACAATACCTGCGAGTTGCGGTTGCCCACTACCAAAAACTCCTAAATTAAATTTGTTTGTGCATTGATATCCAGATTTTATCGACGGGGTAGAAGATTCGAAAAATAGAAATGGTACACTATAATTTAGGATTCAATATAAACAAATTTCAAGCTCAAAAATGTCAATGACAAGCAAAATTAGAAAAAGCCGTTTCAGAAGAACGAGTGACCCGGCGGCACGTTTTCCTAATAATTCATCCTTCCGTGTGTCTTCAATTATGAAAACCGGCAGACCCGCCGAGGTTATTAGGGAAAGCTCTAGCATTGCTTCTACATATAAATTGTATGTAACATAAATTTAACGACAGAAATTTCACCCAAAAGGTCAGTAAATAAATATGCTAAGAAAATACAAATGTTTCAAGGCATAGCGACATCAACGGCTAGCTGGGATGCAGAATTCGTTTTCGTTTGTCAGTCTATAATTCCTCAAATCGTCCCTGCTAGCCTACCCAACTTTCCGGAAATGTCTCAAAATATTACCAGGTTATATGCGGAAACAAGGCCTTAATTTCATTATACCTGCTGTCGATTAGCCATTACAAAACTCTAAAATGACAAGTTTGTTTGTGCACTGATATCAAGATTTTAATGAGGGGCAGAAAACGCCGACAAATATCTGAATAAAATTGTTGTAAAAATAAAAAGGAATTTTCAAGGAAAATAGCAACCGAAAATTCACACTAATTCACAACTTGCCAAAAAAAAGAGTTTCAGAAAAGCGGGTGAAACGTAAACAGTACGCGGAACGCCGAAGTTCAAATGCGTAAAGCGCGTAAGGTATCGTAAATTTAACAGATTAAATTGATTCCAAAAATGTCAATCATTAGATATTTTATGACAATTATATGTTTTACACCATGGCCAGATAAACGCCTGGCTGATAGGTAGAATTCGCTCGAGGTCGAATCTTCAGAATTTCTCAAATTGTCTCTGCTAGCCTGCCTTCGTCGGATTTCCGGCAGGCCTTTTCAATATTTTTTGCACCTTTTTGAGCCCGCTTTTTTCGGGCCGCCCACTCCTGCGCTGTCTGAGGGGTCGATTGGCTAAATTTGCAGTCAGTCTCCGAGGGCACCCGGAGGCTAATTTTGGCTCCCGTCTGCAGGCCAGATTTTTGCATCTTTGTGCTCGTTGGACTCGTCATAATCCCGCAAAAATATCTGCTAGCCTGCCCTCTCCTCTTCCTCAACAATCTCTGCTAGCCTGCCCTCTCCTCTTCCTCAACAATCTCTGCTAGCCTGCCCTCTCCTCTTCCTCAACAATCTCTGCTAGCCTGCCCTCTCCTCTTCCTCAACAATCTCTGCTAGCCTGCCCTCTCCTCTTCCTCAACAATCTCTGCTAGCCTGCCCTCTCCTCTTCCTCAACAATCTCTGCTAGCCTGCCCTCTCCTCTTCCTCAACAATCTCTGCTAGCCTGCCCCTCTCCTCTTCCTCAACAATCTCTGCTAGCCTGCCCCCTCCTCTTCCTCAACAATCTCTGCTAGCCTGCCCTCTCCTCTTCCTCAACAATCTCTGCTAGCCTGCCCTCTCCTCTTCCTCAACAATCTCTGCTAGCCTGCCCTCTCCTCTTCCTCAACAATCTCTGCTAGCCTTCCCTCTCCTCTTCCTCAACAATCTCTGCTAGCCTGCCCTCTCCTCTTCCTCAACAATCTCTGCTAGCCTGCCCTCTCCTCTTCCTCAACAATCTCTGCTAGCCTGCCCTCTCCTCTTCCTCAACAATCTCTGCTAGCCTGCCCTGTTTATGCAAAGAATACGTCACTGCTTCGTTGATTGTTTATGTTGGGATGATCTTTCAAGGATGGCGGGTGAGCATCGTATCATCGCGTAGTGCTAGCAGGAGCGATAGAGAGAGAGAGAGAGAGAGAGAGAGAAGGATATGCAGCAAAATCCCAATTAGCCGCTAGGGCATGGGATGGGCCCCCTGGCCGATCGGATATGACACCTGAGGGCCGGGGGTCTGGACCCCTGGGCCCTCCCGCTGGATGCTTTTGGCAACGTGCCAATTAGTGCGGGTCTCTCGACGCTTCTGAATCTGCTGAATACGAGATTTCTATTTGTAGCTTTTATGTTTTTCGATTTACGATACAGTACCCGGTTTTACGGGCATCCGCATAAGATCACAGCTAGCTTGCCCTTAACATGTCGTTTGCCGCCTACAACGTTTTTTTGCCTAGATCGTTCCCTATAAATCTCTGCCAGCCTACTACCGAGCTAGCCTCCACTTTCCTCAACGATCTCTGCTAGCCTGCCATTCTTTCATCGTTTTCCTGGGCACCCGTTGCAAAATAGCCTCTAATTTCCCGAACGGTGATTGCTAGCTAGCCGCTGATTTCCTAAATAGTCTCGCAGCCACACCACCTTTTCGATTTCTCTCTTAAATGGTCTCTGCTAGCTCGCCTCCAATTTCCCCAGATTATCTCTGCTAACTTGCCTATGAATTCCTTAAAAGTCTCTGCTAGCACGCCTCCAAATCCCTTAATTCCTCTGCTAGCTCGCCACTGAATTTCTCAAATTTCTGGCGTTTTTCTGCTGTTCCCAAACGGCCGCTGCTCGCTAGCCTGTAAATTCCTAAATGATCCCTGCTATCCCACCGCCTCCTTCCCCCAAAAGTTCATTCCTAATCCCCCAGGGC